CCCGTGGCCCGATTTTAACGAAACTTGTTTCATTCTGTTTCTATTCTCATTTCAGGAGGTACGGTATTCTTGCAAATATGGCGCTATTGTGTGACGTTTGTTTTGCTGTATTTAATTACAGACAAGCAAACAAACAAACAATCTCATAGTTTTAGTAGTATATAGATTACTACCATGCTTGATTGGATTGGATTCAGTGCTTTCTCCACAACCACCATATCTGCATGACCTATCTCTCAGTTATACAGAATTTTGCAAAAGAAATGTATTCTTACAGAGAACAATTTAAAATTGAAACGTTATCAAAATAAATGAAACAGAAGCTTAATTTTCTGAAATTCAAGCTGGAGTTAAAGAACGAATTCCCTGCTACGGTAATAAATGTTTATGATCCATAACACGTTCTAGTTAACATAATTCCCGTTAAGAAACAATAATACTTAGAAGTAATTGGCGTTAAAAATAAAACAAATACTACAGTGTTACTTATGTATTGGTTGTAGACCAATGCGCTGTATTTTGTACTTACTGGGATAATTTAAATGTACTCAAATGAGGACTGCATTTTTAAAATGTTATAAATAAATAACACTGGAACCTAAAATATCTTTGAAACACACTTTATTTGTAAGCAAGTACTATATATACCTAAACACTCTGTACTTTTTTGCTCTGTAATTTTTGTTCCTATCTCATGAGGCTGTATGGTTCCTTCCCATCATTAATTCACTGGCAGGTGCTCTACGTTATCAAGGTTGAAAACTGAAAACTTGGCTACCAACAAAGTGAAAAGGGTATAGTAACTTTGATACTTTGTTTTCTTGCACTTAAAAGTTAAGAAAACAAGAAACGACAGATGAAACGATTTTTTATCTTCATCAGGAACTAAAAGAAGTTTTTTTTTGAAAGGCTGAAAAAATCTACTTTAATAAATGTGAATGGTGTAAAGTAATAATGCAATAAGGTACTACAAGCAGCAGCTCTTGCTACATCTTCTGTTTAAAGCAATCTACTTTTATAAATGTGAATGGTGTAAAGTAATAATGCAATAAGGTACTACAAGCAGCAGCTCTTGCTACATCTTCTGTTTAAAGCAATCTACTTTTATAAATGTGAATGGTGTAAAGTAATAATGCAATAAGGTACTACAAGCAGCAACTCTTGCTACATCTTGTGTTTAATTTAATCTTTCTTCAAATTACTATTGGTTAAATGTGCACGTATGCCATGTATTCAACACAAACAAAAACCAACCATGACTACCAAAGTCATTCAGTGTACCTTAACCCTGGAAAATTTCCTTTATACCATTCATTATCGGTGGGGTCCACATATTGAGTGATTTAAGTTTTTGCTTGTTAAAGTATTCATCGTAAAGAACTGACCAATAAAACTGGGTAAAACCAGTCATTTTCTATGTAGAATGCTTAGTATAACCCAACAGATATTAATGGAATTAACTGCAACATTGGTGGTATTTTTGTTTACTTCTTTGCGTTTAACTCATATGTTATCGGGGATTTTGTAACTAACAATGTCATGGACCTACAGACAATTTGATGTATAATTATTAGGTCGTCAAGAAATTAAAGTCGCTTTTTTTAGAGGAAAAACCCAAACAACTTATATATCAAACATTTATTCAATGAAATAGTCTCCATTCTTATCGATGTTGCTTTTCCATCTTACAATCAGATTGTTAATGCCCCGATGAAAGAAATCGATGTCCTCTTTAACACCTTCCACATTTGCATACGTTTTCCCATTAAGATGGTGTTGCAGCTAACGAAAAATATGGTAATCTGACGGTGCCATATCTGGAGAATATGGTGGGTGGGGGAGAACTTCCCAACCCAACTCCATAATCTTGTGTTGCGTCAGACGTGCCACATGTGGACGTGCATTGTCGTGGAGAAGAAGAACACCTTTCCGATTGACGACTGAAGGGCGTTTCTGATAAAGGGCTTGATTTAAACGTTCCAGTTGCTGACCATAGATCTCTGCATTGACAGTTAGCTGTGAATTGAGGAGTGCAAAATGAATTACTCCTTTGATACCCCACCAAATGCAAAGCATCACTTTTTGCGGATGAAGTCCAGGTTTTTGGGTCGGAAGTGTTTTTGGCTAGGACTGAGCCATTGTTATTGGCGTTTAATATTCGCATAGAGAATCCATTTTTCATCACCGATGACAAATCTGTCTAAAAATAGTTCATGCGCATTATGCGCCAGAAGAGACGAAGCAACGTTCATACGTT